CCAGCAGAAATAAATTTACAAGGTATTTTAATTAATATTACAAATTAAATTGTAATAATTAAGAAACTTGAAATACTTTGAAAAAGAACATGTCAAAATTGGGATTATTACAAGTTACTTAATAATTTCTATGACAAATTCAGTCATTTACAGTCGAAAATTGTAATTTTTGCTTTACCATAAAAATTTAGTTTTACTTTGTATACACAGTACAACGTAAACGCGATCTGCTGATAGTTTGTGGAAATTACAATTTCCGGATTACCGATTGCTACTGACAGATTAGCTTCTAAAGCTTGTTAAAATGATTCCTTTTTGACTTATTAACCAGGGGTCACACGCGGCGCGTGACGTTACACGTTTCGGTTTTATACCGTAATAATAAATTTTCTTCCTACCGCCGATAAAGAAGTTTCACTTCAAAAATAATTTTGCATAGTGCTCTGCAAAAGACCACAAATCATAACAATTTAAACATTTAATGGTCCAAAAACAGACAAGCAGTCAGACATTCCACTTTTAAATTACGGCTTAGACCGTACAAATACAAAACGTGTAACACCATTTAGTGACATTTAACTTTTACATTTCAAAATGAAATCGCGCCTTTGACAAATAAATCAATGAACAATGAACGTGTCTTGAAGGTACAAACAGGAAACCTAGACGCATTAATAACATGTCTTTGAACTCTGCATTTAAAATTTAAATAGTGAAATTAATCTGAGTCACGTTACGGTTTGTCACTCGCCTAATTCAATATCGCCGACTTTATTTAATGAACCGCAATTCTTAATTAAAGAGAAGGTCGTTCAAATGTTAATTGTGATAATTTAAGAATTGAAACTTTTTATGAGAACTAAAATATTCGCACAAAAAATGAAAAATAAAAAATTTGCCTCAGCTTTGGAACGTGTTCAAAACTGTTTACAGAATAATTTAATATTTTAATTTTGTTCAAATATGTAAATAATTTAAAAATTTAAAAACTAATTGTCCACAATCTCTGTATGACTGCGGTAGAAGGGAGCTTTCTGACTGATCGATAATCAACACAGCCAAATCTATTGAGACGATTTGAGTAAAATTTTGTCAGCATATTCTTGCATAGATCCATATCTTCCCCAATAATATATTAACATTGTTGGAATTTTCTTGTATAGTCACCCAAGAAATTATTTATTTAATAGACACCTAGAGATAGCTTTAAATAAAATAGAAGCGGTACTGACAGATCAGTACTGTATGAAAATAAATAAAAGTAAAACTAAAATACTGGTATGCAAGGGAAGAAAAAGTAGGGAAAGAGCGAATATAAAGATAGGAGACGAAAAATTAGAAGAAGTGGCTGATTTTAGATACCTAGGAAGTCAGATAAGTGAGGATGGAAGGAGTAGTAGGGATATAAAGCAGAGGATAGCGCAGGGTCGTGTCGCCTTTAATAAAAAGAAGTCACTTCTATGCTCGCGAACGGTTAATTTAGAAATTCGAAAAAGGTTGTTAAAGGTGTATGTTTGGAGCACGGCGTTGTACGGGTGCGAAACATGGACAGTGGGAGCGGCGGAAAAGAAAAGGTTAGAAGCGTTCGAAATGTGGTGTTATAGGCGGATGATGAGGATATCGTGGGTAGAAAAGGTTAGAAATGAAGAGGTATTGGAAAGAATAGGAGAACAGAGGACTCTATGGAAGTCAATAAAAAATAGGCGAGATAGGTTGGTAGGACACCTTCTCAGGCATGAAGGTCTAGTCAGAGACATATTAGAGGCAGAAACAGGAGTTAGGAGGGGTAGAGGTAGACCTAGATTAGATTACTGTTCGCAAATAGTTAAGGATGTGGGATGTTCTAGTTTCAGGGAAATGCGAAGTTTAGCTCAGGATAGGAAAGAGTGGAGGTACGTGTCCAACCAGTCTTAGGACTGATGACCTTATGATGATGATGAGACACTTAGATAAAAAACGTATACATACACAAATTCAGTCACAAATTAAAAATCGTCATCATAGGTCGTTAGTCCTAAGACTGGTTGGGCACGCACCTCCACTCCTTCCTATCCTGAGCTAATCTTCACATTTCCCTACATTTAGAACATCCCACATCCTTAACTATTTGCAAACAGTAATCAAATCTAGATCTACCTCAACTTTCAAATTCTCTAATATCCCTACGTACCTCATAGCATTCGACGCTCCTACCCGTGAAATATTACATCTTCCCCTATTGCACTTATTGATGACATCCCCCGAGGTAGACCCCGCCCGGACATCCGAATAGGGGACTAGTTTACGTCCGGAGTGCTTTACCTCAGAGGACGTCATCATTCGAGTTTGGTGTGTTTTTTTCTTGGAATATCATGATGTGGTAGTTTCCCGTTGCCTTCCACATCGCAGTATTGTGCATCAGAGTGCAATACCGATCCTCGTTATCTCTGCCACTCTGAGTACTGAAAAAGCTGCTGCCCTCCTTCAGGGACTTGTTTTTGTCTGATTTTTCTTTAAGAACCTCTCCCCCCGTTATGGTTGAACCTATGGTCTGGTTTCCTAAATCATCGAAACTCGCGCCCACTCTATTTTGTACCAGAGCTTCGTCAAGCTTCCAGTTCCGTTGGATCGGAAATTAAAAATTATAACATGAACTTAGATGTCTCCGTCTAATATAATACAATAACTTAATAATCTACCTTGATAAAGACTTAGATCGAAAGGCGAAACGTAAGTGGATATTATATAATCAATAAGGAACAATTCACCCTTTTCTGATTGGTTTTAAATGAAAAAATCTAATTTTTACATAGAAGCGTACCTAAAACGTACATCTAAATCTATACTAAATAGTTGAGAAAGAAAAACAAAAATTTCAAATACAGTGTAAACTCTATATAACGAGACTTAAGGGACTGAACATTTTTCGACGTTATAGAGAGTGGTCGTTAAATGGAGAGAAATAAAAGATATCATTTTACTATTCTATAATAATATGCGTTTACCAATATAGTAGACATTTTGCACACGAACATTATTATTCATACATTGCGTATAGCCTGTTATCTTCGCCTGATGTTTTTTGCTACTCCAATATTTTAATTGTATTTTGTTACGTATCTTACTCATATCTTGAGATACTGCTGGATCAATTTGATTATATAAAAAGTATTTTTTTAATAGTTTCGCTGCATCAAGTGCTTGTTTGATGCTTGGTGGAGGTACAGGATCGTCTTCTTCAACAACGTACACAGCTACAGTTCTTATCTATTTCGGCAACTTAGAAAGTACTGCTTAATGATTTATAATGCCCCATCGTTGTCGTTAAATAGAGTGAGCGTGACGCTATAAAGAGTGTAATATTGTATAGAAAACAATGTAAATCAACCAAAGTCAAGCAATTTCGACGTTTTAAGGAGTTTGTCGTTAAATCGAGTGACGTTATAAAGAGTTTACACTGTATAGTTGAGTGAGGTGTCATTCGAAGGATAATAAAATTCTAAGACGTATGTTCTTCAATGTTCATCAAAGTCATTGTTCTTGAGTAGTACGTGGTATTAAATGTTTGTGAGGGGTCATTTGAAAGATACTGAAGTTCTAAGTTAAAATCGTAGTTCTTGAGTTGTAAGCGGCAATAAACTGCGAGGGAAAGCGCGACGAGTAACCGCTGCTATAATACGTACATTCTTTCTGAACGTTAGCCTTATTCTGTTGTTAGTAGAACCGTCTGTATGTAGATTATTATGTTTACCTTAGTGTTTATTCATCACGGAGCATTAGCAGGTTATCACAAGTAGACATAGTGCATTTTTATGTAATTGCGTTCTTATCGCATACATTTAAATTATTACACCGAATTACGAGCAACGAA